CATGTTAGCAGCTCTGGGTTCTAATCGTGGGCCATATCCGATCTGTGCCACATGGGAGGAAAAAAACGGAATTGGGTCACTTGAACCGTGCAGTGTAAATGCGGCCTTAAATCCAATCGCTCAAACCACTTCAGGAGGTGGTCTGAGACGCATTCCAGACGAAACTGGACAAGTGTAAATGCATCTGGTTGTTGAAACCATGTATGTAAATTTTACTCCTCCCAAAATGTTAAAAAATAAACGTGTGAGAGCGTGATATATGCTATATGACATGTTATAGTCAGATATGACGGCGCTAATGCAACACGCATGGCCGCGGATGAGTAGCTGATTTCTTCAGCAAGCCGAAGCACAAACTGCCGCAAATCATCTTCATTAAATGTAGTAAGACTGAATTATCTTACAAGTGCTGATGCCGCTCTCTTACCTGTTGCAATCTTTAATCTTAAATAAACAAATTTGATCTGATGATGAATAAAATGCAGTGCATTTCTGTTGCTTTCATTGACGTGAACTCCGTTTTTGCATATCGTGGGAATTGAAGATCGGATTTATATCTGTTTTGCGGAGACACATTTATGTGGCCAATGGAACTGTTTTAACTTATAAGAAAGCTATCCGATCAGAGAAAACGCATTGGCGATAGACTCGATAAGATTTGCGAGTCTAATAATAAACCAATAAGATTTGCGCACAGTTTCTTATGGCGTCGAGCGCTCTCACTGGCTGCGCTTATGTAAACAAACAAACAAAAGTTCCTGCGTGTGCGCCATATTCGAATGAGGAAGAACGCGATTCTGTGTGAATAGGACTGTTTTTAAAACAAAACAATCAAATGAATTCCGATAACTTGGAATGGCGAACATGATCATGTGGACTACTTTTATTTGCTTTTTGGAGCTTGACATTTAATTACAATGACCATTTTCCTGTATCACTAATGAAAACGTCATACGAATTTGGAAAGACATGGGGGTGAGTATGACTGGACTGCTTTATTATTATTATTATTATTATTATTATATTGTGGGCCAAATTTCATATAGGCTATAGGCCTCCAGCAAATGCAAATTATGTTTTTCCCCTTACTATTCAACATTGAATATGGTGTCTGCTACACTGCATTGAGACATTAGATCCTTGCATCAGTAATGTTTATTTCTGTGTATTTATATTCCTTTCTGTGGGTAATAATAGTAATTGTAATTCTTGTACGTTTATGACACGTGTATGCTGCTAAAACTCTGAAAGCAGCAGCAGCCCTAGTAGACATATTTAGAAGACATTTTGTGTTGTGAGTGCCTAAGTATGTCGATGTGCACAAACTGTATTGTATGAGCCTTATGCTTTATTTGTATATGCTTTATTTGCTTCTTAATGGTCTTTTATCAAGTAAAAGCATTTTTAAATAGTTATTGTTACTCCTAGTACAGACATGTTAACTGCAGCACACAGTATTGTTTTGTTTGACTCCTTTTCATAAGTGAGGTTATTCAGTCATATATAGTTTATTCAATTACCAAGCAACAAAACAAACAACATAAGTGGGCGTAGAACATGATAATGACAGATCAAACAACCTCGACCGATTCCTCCAAAGCGGAAAAGCGAGAGAGTGGTTTCTGACTGTGAACAGTGAATGAAATCGAGGAGCGGAGGAAAAGAAAAAGAAAGAATGGATGTGATCCCCTAGGCAGTGCCCAAAACAATGTCAGGTTTGTTCGGCCTGGTTGCGTGAAGACTAAGCTTGGTGGAACTGGCAGCTTGCCCTCCCGTTCGCTCTCTATACTCCCTCCCGTCACTCTATTCTAACCCTGTTGCTTTCAGGAAGAAGCATTCCTATGAAGTTCATCAGCCGTCTTTCTGTTTGTGCGGCCATAATGGCAGCTTCATCCTTCGAGCACTTAAAAAGGACACGCTGGGGACTGGAAGGGCCCCGTCAGTTCAGCACCGGCACAGTGGCGCTTTGAGTGTTCTCTCTGTCTGGCAATCTGCTCACGCTATCAAACAACCCTCTCTTCCTGCCAAAACCTGTCTCTGTCCCTCCTTCAACCAGTATAGGGGGGTATTTAAAGGGTCTTATTCACATTACCGCCCAAGTTCAGATGAATGGGCTCTTTGCAGAACAGCTTAGCATCAATAATAGATGTTATATTTGTTCGCTGTGCTTATTAAGACAAACATTACTGTTAATGCGCCTACTTAGTATTTAATTCATTTAACTCAATACTTAGTAATGATCTCTTCCTTGTTTGTGCTGTGATTGTTGGAATGATAATTTTGATGATTGCCAGCCACTCAGAACACTCTAGCAACCTTCATAACACTACTGCAACCACATAGCAACATTATCAATCTACTCCGAACACCTTAGCAATAGTCCCTGACCATTTTTCAGCAACTTTGGTTCCGAAAGTATGTTTCCCATAAATTTTTTTTTTCCTATAGGGATTTTAAAAAATCAGTTCACATTAAAGAGTTATAGGCCACGAACCAAATCAACTAGCTACGAGGTGAATCACAATATTACAAACTTTGATTTGAATTTTTTATTTTTTTGAAAATTAGGCAAAACAACAAAGGTACAAGACTTTGCACTTAATGGCTTTAATGAGGAAAGGAACTACAATCCCATGAAGCATTCCAAATGGTGAAATATAAAAGTATTTGCAGTGCTTCATCAGAGTGGGTGTTCCCTGCAAGCTCTTTTGGCCTGATTTGCTGGCCGCATTTTCTGATTGGTGGAATTTTCTATAGAGCATCATGGGTAATGCAGTTTTTACCACAAAGTCTACTGTTAAACATGACTATTCAAAAAATAAGTTAAAATAATGCAATCAGATGGCTTCAACAAAAACATATTCTGAAAACTTTGGTGCAGATCTGTCTTTAAGGTTTATACATTATGGTAAATTTCCCTATGGAGAAAAGGAACCAGACTATTGAAATCTATTGGTAGAGATTTTTTGCAATCTATTGATAGAGATTTTTGCAGAATCATGGGTAATGTAGTTTTTCGCCATGACATGTCACCATTAAACATGTTAAATAGGAAAGGGGAAATGGTTTTGGCTTAACGAAAACACATTTAAGTGATTAATTATCCTGATTGGAAGCAGATAAAAAATATCTGTCAGACACTGAGCAAGAATTTTACATGGAAAAATATGTGAAAGTCCTTCATGCATTTCAGACGATCTCGTGGCTTGTAATGGATAAGAGTCACAGATAATGAAATTAATTGTACATGTAAATGGCGAGCACACGAAAGAATCCATTTTAATTGAATTTCAATTAGGAGTGTTTATGGCACCTGTACGTTTAATGATGTTTCCTGTAATTGATGGTACATTGTGTGATCTCACCTCACACGGAGAGCACTTGACACATGGAGAGCATCATTTCCTGGAGACATGAAAGACTAATTATACCTTTACCTATATGGACACTCTTCCATTTGACAGACATGTCAGCGGCACCTACATCAGCATAATTCAAGCAAACATGTCAAGCCTTCCCGATCTCAGCCTCTCCCCACACCCATTCACCCAGTTCCACATCATGCATCACAGTGAGCCTGTTCCACCTCAGCATTGCAGGATGGGGTGGGGCTTTTGTGTTTAGATTGTGTGACCATGTTCTGCATATATATATAAATTATAATTGAAAGTGCACAATCATAATCATGCTGTAGCTTATGTTTTGGAAAATACTTTAGAGAAGCTACATAATTTGTCTAACCTATAGCTATAAAAATATGCTGGAAAAACGTTAAATATGTACTGTACAATATGTACTAGAGGATACAGTGTATAGAAATCTTACAAGGTATCATATGCATTTTTGGCGACCCCAAGTGGGGTCATGACCCCTATGATTGAGAACCTATAATTTAAATTATACACCCAAAAATTCTGTGATCATTTACATAACCTCATATTGTTCTAAAGCTCTGTCTTTTCTTTCCTTTTTTTTTTAAAAACAAAAATGATATTTTAAATTACAATATCAAAATAACATTGGACGATTTGACTTGAACACTTCACTTGACATTGTATGAACAAAATGAAAGAACGTCATGAGAGACAAGAATTTTCATTTTTGGTTGAACTAATATGACTGATTACATGACATTTAAAAATGTATGTAAATTTAAAAATGTATCTAAAAATCATAAACTACTGCTTTTCTCAGATTTGATCATGCATAGTTTTCTGAAAGGATGTGTATTGTAGTTTTTGCTAAGGATACCATCACTTTTGCTGTTGTTCATGCTTAGGGTTTGGGATTTGATATCTTAGGGTAGCTTAGGGTTCAAATGTTATATCTTTTTTAAGAGATTTTCTTTTCTACTTACCCTGGCCAATGAGAAAATGAGCGAAACCCATATCTATAGACCAGCATATCATAGACTCAGGGGTGGGTTCTTTTGATCACCCAATACAACCTAGCAGCACGCTAGCAACTGCATAGCAACACACTAAAAACCATATTGAACACCTTAGCAACTGCATAGCAACGTCCTTGCAATCACCCAGAACATCATGATGGCTACTCTTGTACCAGCAAGCACTGCTCACACTGTCTTCATAAAATGTAAAAGCGTGACTAAACTAATAGTTTTCTCAGAAATATAGTCGTCTGAAAAATGTGTATTGCAGTTTTTCCTTTTTAATATAAAATGATACTGAAACTCCAAATTAACCCCATTTAACCGTAGTGACAGTGTTAAAAAAGGAAAAACACAGATCTTGACATCCATGGCACAAAACATGGGCAAGTCTCCCCATGCATGAGTGCTTTAAATGCAGCTTCTTCTATCCAGAATTCCTTCACTCTCTTTCATTCTCTCTCACTCATTCATTCTCTCTCACTTCTCTCTCTCTCTGTATCTCTCCTTCTTTGTATACTCCATGTGAAAAGCGCTCAGATCTGGCTTTGTGGGAGTGATTGTCACTCGTTTAATGAGCTTCTTTGCCAGGCGAGAGGCTTTGGCAGCATATGTCTCCCCAGTGCCTCTCTCGCTCCGCACCGTTCTTCGCGCTAGTGGCGGGGCTTCTCTCCCGCGTCTGCTGTGGTAGACGTTTCTTTGGATTTCCTCAGCACTCTCTGTTTTTCACGCCTGTGGGATTAGACTGAGCAGAAGAAGAAGGTTTGTCTGTCTTTTTGGGGACGAGCGGACAAGAATGCAGCAGATTCCTGTGAGTATTTAGGCTTCTGTTTGATGAGTTTGTCTGAGACTGAAATAAATCAAGCCGGTAGAGGGAATAACTACTGTAGTATTGTGTGCTGTGACCCCCGCACGTGTTTTACAGAGAGCCTTTGGAGGGACAATGATGCAGTGTGTGATCTGCAAAATTATTTTCTTTTTATCCAGTGCTTAAATATGATTTAATATTAAGTGCTACCTTTTTTAATTTTTGCACTTTATTTTTTTTCTTGCATGTTTCTTGTGACTAATGTCCATGTCAGATTAATTTAAATTTTTATTTGACGTTCATATTAATGTTTTGGCTTATTAGTTCTCATGTTCTGTTCTGTTACCATTTTTATAGGGGGAAAACTACTGATTTTGACCCCCAGATTTTCCTCCAATAGAATGAATGTTACATTTCTGAAAAGTGCATGTCAACTTTGTGGTACAACAGAGTGTTAAAAACTTCAGTAACATCTGCCAGCTGGATTTTGATTCGGTCCAAAAAAAATTTTTTTTTTAATTATTTAAATTATTATTTTGAGGGGAAACAAGTGTTTAATTAGAAATTAATACTTTTAATAAATAATTATGATTATTTGTTCACATAATGGCACATATAGGGACATTTTTACACTCTCTCTGTCTCTCTCTCTATCCCTCCCCTCCTCCCTACTTGACAACACATCTGTGATTGCCGAGCATTTGAACAATCTCTTTTATTCTTCACAGCCATCTTCTGTGACCTTAGCCGTGCGGACAATTAGTTTCTTTCTCGCTCTCAATTTGGGCTCTATGCATTTGGGCCCAACAACACATCTGTAGAACATTGCATTCTGGTCATTAACGTATTTTTAAACAGCTGAAATTGTGAAATATTGACCAGCAATGCAAGATGCCTGTATTTTAGGGTATTTGAACTTTACAGCTTACTGAGTATGTCGCTTCTCAGTATAATACATCTCTCATTATCACTTGTTTTCACTGAAAATGCCTTTCACGAGCAACATTGTTTGTTTCTTTTTCATTTGTTTTGCAGCAGACAGAAGCAAGCGCCAATCTGTATATGTTTTGGGTTGGTAGTAAAACCAAAGAGGTAAGAACATGAATAAAACAGTGAAGTTTGTACCTTCTCTTGAGTCATTATATATTTAGAGCTGTAAACAATTGACGGTTGGGCTTGAGTTGATGATGTAAATGTATCGTAATTTGGATACAACTGAAACTTGCGGAGGCAGAAGGAGGGAATCTGATCCAGGAGAGTAGTGCTGAGGACTTTGATTCATCTAAGTGACTCTTGAATCTGTTTACAAAAAAGATTTGTTCATTAATTCTACACGTTAAGTCATTATGCCAGTGGGTCTTTTAGGTGTTATGAGTGATGTCAATGAATCATTTACTCAATTGAAAATTGACTCACATGCTTGATCTTGAATGAACAACATTCCCTACAGACAGGGCAGGACTTAGGGGGGCAGGGGCCCCTGGGCTTGAGGTTATGTTTGGGCCCTATACCTACACTACAAATGCCCTCAAATAGAACATCATTATGGAGTAACACAAAATACACAAACATATGCTTCGAGGTTCATAAATAGTACAATTAATATGCAACATGTCTAGGCTATAGTCAAAGTTTAAATGTAATATTAATTATAATATAATAAACATGATGTGTTCTCTCAGTTGAGAGATCAAAACCCTGAAATAACTTTGAGCAAAAAAAAAAGCCAGAGATGTTGGCTTATTAGTATTATAAAAGTTATTGTCGTATCTGTGTCCTCTTATGTTAGGTTCTTATTTAAAGGGTTGATGTTGCTAAAAAGAACATAATTTTGTGTATTTGGTGTAATGAAATGTGTTTATGCGGTTTAAGGTTAAAAAACACATTATTTTCCACATACTGTACATTATTGTTTCTCCTCTATGCCCCGCCTTTCTGAAACGCGTCGATTTAAATATAAAAAAACTGCGTCACACATGGCGGGCTAGAGTGAGTGGAGGCTGGAGGCCTAGAGTGAGCAGAGGCCGGCGGCTAGAATGAGAGGTGGCCGGCAGCCTAAATTAAGCGGAGGCCGGCTTGAGTGAGCGGTGGCGGGCGGGCTTGCAGCAACCACATGTGACGACCCCAGGTTGGACTCCGCTTCGTCAACGGTGAAAGCCGATCCGGCGATCAACAGCGCGAAGTTGATGTATTTCCTCAGCGACCAAACAGAGCAAAACTGAATTTTTTGTCTGATAGTTACTCTGTAAGTTGTTGTTTATTGTACATTTGCGATCGTGCAGATACTCGAGAGAGAGAAAAAACGGACTCTTGTTTGTGTGATAGGCTAAGTCCTATATCATAGGCATAGCTATATTATAAAAACAGAAACTTTTTCATCTTTTTTTTACACTTCTTCCTCTCTTGCCACTTCATAATCCATCTGTACGTCTCAGCCAATATGCCTGCGCGTCATTCTACGTTTTGCTCATCCACTCTCCCACTCCATCAAAAAACAATCTCTCCACTTCTCCGTAAGGCAAGTTCATGATCCACGCACACACCATCCTTCGCCCCCATCCATCTACATTCTGTCTCCTTCATTCACTCCCACATCCCTCTCCCATCCCCTGTCAACAACAGAGACGGTTTATGACTTCTGCATCCCACTATCCTATTCCAAAGCTGTCTTCCACCTGCCCACATCTTTTTCTATTCTTGCCCAAATGCATGCTTTCTACCTCTAAGCGCAAAGCGTCCCTGCATTCCTCACTCGTCCCCCTGTCCCATCCCATTTCCCCCTCGAAGCCTCGTTCAGGCTGCTGTATTATTGATGGGCTGGTAACTGAACCATTCAGTCTCTGGCATGCAGAGTCAAATCTCAGTTAGCCATAGTTATTATTTAATATCTCTTAGGCTACATGTTTTAATCTCATTTAGAGTAGTGTCTCTGCTTTGCCCGAACAGAAGTTTTAATAATATACATGTCGTGTAGCTGATGCCTGTTGAAGTTGGTATTTATGCATTATTTATGCTGATTTTTAACAGTTGCAGTGGCCATGATGAAGGGCTTGAACAGCCAAGTTCTCTTTTGCAGATGTTTTAAGGTTAATAGATATTGTATTGTCGAATGATATGGGTGCTCATAAAAGTCACAATTTTTTTTTAATATTTTTGATTGAGAGAGTAGTGAGATTAAATTGTTAGTTTTCTGCTTCTCTAAGAAAAAGACCCAAGTGAACTCTTATGTCTCATCTGAGAAATCTCAACAATGTTTTAAACTGTGCTCAGAATAAAAACACACACCACATTATTCCAAGGTCAAGTTATCTTTGCTATAAATACAACATCTATTTTATAGCTCTATACTCTTAGTTGTGCCTATTTTTACTTTAGGAGAAACATCTGAGACAAAGCTGATACATAAATGAAACTTAATTGAAATCATCTGAGCTTTAAAAGAGCAAGCTTTGAACCATAACTCATTTTTCAGTCTCTTGGCTCCTGTTGAAATCACTTTTGCTGCTTTTTTGTGGAAACCATGATACCCTTTTTTTGTTTTGTTTCAAGATTATTTGATCAATAAACAAAAACAGCATTTATTTGAGTTTCTTGAGCACCAAATCAGCATATTCTAATGATTTCTGAAGGGTCTTGTGATACTGAAGCCTGGAGTAATGGCTGCTGAAAATCCAGGAATAAATTAATATATTTTTAAATATTATAAAATAGAAAAACTAAAACAAATCATGCATACATGTAATGTGTGCTTTCATACATTATGTTGTTGCTTCTGAAAATATGTAGCCTAAATGTAGCATCTTTATCCATTTTATGTTTTTGTCCACACTGTAATCAAGCCAAACGAGAGATTAAAGCGACTAAATGGATGAAACACTCTAATTACAGCACAAATTGAGGAGAAATATGCTAATTGCTCTTTAGTGTGAGTAATCGCACCAATTTCTTAAATGTGCTGGAGAGATTAAATCAGAATTGGGGTCTTATCCAAAGGTTTGAGAAGGATATACAGCCATCAAAACTCTTCAGGCAGCAGAATATATTAATCCAGTTTGACAAGACAGGAATGAAGCTAATCCCATTAATGGCCTTCATAGTGTGCACACAAAGTTTTCATACTAAATGGCACTTAAATGCTGAGCATGTGCTGAATAGCAGATATCTGTCTACTTATTGACAATGCAGTGGTTTTGAGACCATTTGAAGTAGAAATACTGTAAACAGGCAGCTTTGCTAGCATTGACTCTTTCCTTGCCAGCTGTTAAGAGTGCCGTAATGCACTCTTAAACGGATTGTTCACCCAAAAATGAATGTTCTGTTATAATTTACTCACCTTCATTTCGTTCCAAATCATGTATTCATTTTGGAACACAAAAGATGTTTTGAAAAATGTCTCAAGTCAGTGGAATCCAATGTTGATTGGACCCCAACTTTCTTGAAAATGTTTTTGTTTCACAGAAGTCGTTTAATTGACAATGGTACAATTAAAAGATATCCAATGTTTTCACTGACCAACTTAAATGTATTTTGTAAATATAAACAATTTTTTTTTTTTTGATGGCTGCAACACACTCCACCAAAGTTGGGACAGAGACATAATAAAAGTGAAAGGTTATAGAATATCCAAGTTAAACTGTTTTGAAACAGTCCATAATAAGCAGGTGAATTGGTAATAGGTCAGGGTATCATAATTGGGTTTATATGGAGCATCCTGTCTTTGCCAGCAAAGCCAGGTCATGGCTCACCACTTTGTGCCAAATTTTTGATTCAGGAAATCCAGAGAAATCTCAGACTGTGTAGGGCAAGACAGGACACCTCAGTTGAATGTGTGTGACCTTTGAGCCCTCATTGTATGAGAAACCGTCATGCTGCTGTGTGAAATATAGCCACATGGGCTTGGGAGTACTATGGAAAACTGTTGTCACTTAACACAGTCTGCAGCTGCATCAAGAAATGCAACGGGCTCATCTTAGATTGTTCAAAAGACAGTGAAAATTTATGCTGTAGTCAAATGAGCCCACATTTCAGCTTGTTTTGGGGGAAACCGGACATCAAATTGTCAGTCCCAAAGACAAAAGGGACCATCCAGACGTCAATCCGTGCAAAAGCAAATGTTTGTCATGGTATATGGGTGCATCAGTGCAAGCGGCATTGGGTGACTGGCATATGTGTGAAGGTACCATTGACATGGAGGCATATATTGGAATTGTACAGAGACATATACTGCCATCAAGATGACATCTTTCATGGGAAGCCCATGGTTATTAGATCAAGACAATGACAGGTCTCATTCTGCATGTGCTACAACAGCATTCCATAGGCACGTGTGGATGTGACTGACTGGCCAGCAGATCGGTTTCCTATTTCATGAAAAGGAAAATCGGACAACAACGACCATGGACTAGTGAGCAGCTGAAGTCTTGTATCAAGCAAGATTGGGCAAAAATTTTGCTTGCAAAACTATATAAATTAGCATCCTTAATTACCAGGTGATTAAAATATGTAATTAAAAGGAAAGTTGGTTTGACACTGTGGTAAACATGCCTCTGTCCCAACTTTTTTGGAGAGTGATTAAGCCATGAAAATCAAAATTTGTTTATATTTACAAAATAAAATTAAGTTGGCCAGGGGTCACAAGGTCATCCGCCATCTCTCCAATGGGGACTTAAGGTTAGGAGCTCATTTCATTGATTATAGTTCTCTCGCTCTCTTTTCTCATCTTTTTTCACACTTCTTCTCTAACTCCTTCATAATCCATCTGTACGTCTTGGTCAATATGCCTTCATGTCATTCTACAGTTTGCTCATCCACTCTCCCACTCCATCAAAAAACAATCTCTCCACTTCTCCGTAAGGCAAGTTCATGATCCACGCACACACCATCCTTCGCCCCCATCCATCTACATTCTGTCTCCTTCATTCACTCCCACATCCCTCTCCCATCCCCTGTCAACAACAGAGACGGTTTATGACTTCTGCTTCCCACTATCCTATTCCAAAGCTGTCTTCCACCTGCCCACATCTTTTTCTATTCTTGCCCAAATGCATGCTTTCTACCTCTAAGCGCAAAGCGTCCCTGCATTCCTCACTCGTCCCCCTGTCCCATCCCATTTCCCCCTCGAAGCCTCGTTCAGGCTGCTGTATTATTGATGGGCTGGTAACTGAACCATTCAGTCTCTGGCATGCAGAGTCAAATCTCAGTTAGCCATAGTTATTATTTAATATCGCTTAGGCTACATGTTTTAATCTCATTTAGAGTAGTGTCTCTGCTTTGCCCGAACAGAAGTTTTAATAATATACATGTTGTGTAGCTGATGCCTGTTGAAGTTGGTATTTATGCATTATTTATGCTGATTTTTAACAGTTGCAGTGGCCATGATGAAGGGCTTGAACAGCCAAGTTCTCTTTTGCAGATGTTTTAAGGTTAATAGATATTGTATTGTCGAATGATATGGGTGCTCATAAAAGTCACAATTTTTTTTTAATATTTTTGATTGAGAGAGTAGTGAGATATTTATTTTATAGCTCTATACTCTTATTTGTGCCTATTTTTACTTTAGGAGAAACATCTGAGACAAAGCTGATACATAAATGAAACTTAATTGAAATCATCTGAGCTTTAAAAGAGCAAGCTTTGAACCATAACTCATTTTTCAGTCTCTTGGCTCCTGTTGAATAACCAGTATGTGCAGATGAATCGTGTATCCCTACATGTAAGCATCAAAAGAATTTCTGCTGGTTATTTATTAAAATATAGCCAAGTAATAATCAGATAAATGGTGATGCTTTGGCAGTGACGGATCCTGTTGTGTGAGGCATGATTGTTTATCCTCATAGAGTTGAACAGCCAACTGCTTCCCTTCCACTGCCAGTTTGCTTCCTATTTTTTTACTGTCCTGATTTACGCTTATCCTCCATGCTAAATGAGTCTTCTCGGTGGGCGAGTCGAGTGCGCGAGGGGCAGGACGCCATCAGTCAGTTGGGCAGAAAAGCTTGCTCTTGATTCTCTCAGCTCAGATTCTATATTCTCCTCCTCCTCTGGCTCTTACTCTAGACTGCTTTGCCCAGGCAATGCCAGGTCAGAGTTCACACAGACCTTCCCACGCTGGGCAGCTTTTACCCCTTGCCAGTATCATTAGACTGAGATGCGAGGATTAAGAGCAGGCTGTAGTTGTTAAGAAAGTCCCACTTTGTTGTTTACAGGGTAATCCTTAGGTAGGCTGTATGGGGATGAGCTTTGTTATTTTAATGTTGCAGATTGAAATTTTTAGAGGAGCTCTTTTTTGGTTGCAATGTTGTCTTACTGACATTGCCTTACAAACGAGTGGATAGAGTTGATCTGATTCATGCTGATCTATTTGTAAGTGGCAGATTTATTTATAACTGACATGCTCTTTTATAGGTCTTCAGGCAATCTGGCTTGAATATTCCTATCAAGACATTTTATGACAAGAGGCTCAGAATGACTGTGATTTACAATGTTAGGAAGTAACTAAGCAAAATAGCGAAGCTACTAACTTATTTGTATTATTCAGTAGTGTGTCTATTCGGTTGTTTTCAAAATAAGAAAGTATCACTTTTCCAATACTTAGCTACTTTTCCCAGTGAGTAGCAATGTAGCAGCTTTCATATGACGTGTTGGAAAGTCTGATTCATTCCAGTGAATCTGTTTGTACTAAATAACTCTTACACATGTTGCACTGGAAAGTCTGATGCATTCTGAAATGGTTTGTAATAAATGACTCTCTCTTTCACATAATAATGTAAAATCTGGTTCATTCTTGTCAATTGATTCACACTAAATGACTGTCACATACAGTATGTTGCAATAGAAAGTGTATTCTAGTGAACAGGTTCATACTAAACTTTCTCACATATGTTACTATGGAAAGACTGATTCATTTTGCTGAATCAGTTCATACTAAATTACTCTCTCACATATGTCGCTACTTGTATGAAAAGACAGTGATTCAGATTTCAGTGAATCAGTTCGTATTATATTACGTGTATGTTGTGATGGAAAATCTGATGACTAAATGACTAACTCTCAAATATGTTGCTATGCAAAGTAATTTAATCTAGTGAATCAGTTCATACTAAACAACTCTTTCTTACACAGTCATTCATTTTTGTGACTGAATCATGCTAAGTGGCTCTCTCTCGTATATATATTGACATGGAAAGATGGTTGCCATGGTTGGTACTAAATGACTCTTTCTCTCACACGTGTTGCAATGGAATGTCTGATTCATTCTGGTGAATTGATTCATTATAAAGGACTCTCTTATATATTGTGATGTAAAGTCAATGTAGTGAATTGTTTTGATCAGATGGTTCATGTAAATGAACACATTAACGAAAAGATTCTCTAAGTGTAGCACTTCAGGTTTCATTGTAATTAGTGCAGTAGTAAAAATCTAGGGTGCATTGTATTGGATCAGGATGGTAAACATATGCCACCTAACACACCACATTGGTCAGTAAATCACAATCCAATTAGCTTAGTGCTTTACCTTTTGATTTTAATCTGGCCACTAAAGCTAGACACCATCTGTGGGAGATAGAGCAGTCTCAGGGCAAGCGGTAAAGCCTCAGGCATTGTCTTTGGCTCCAAGAAACGCATCCAAGTCCGACAGACCATAGCCACAAGCCTTTCAGTATAACAGTCAAGGGGTGTAGAAACCCATCCTTTCTAGTGACATCACAGAGGTCATCTCAGGGTTCACCATAACCAGCACTAAATCACAAAAGTTCTCCCCGGCAGAGTTAATACCATTATGAAGAAATGCAGGCATGTGGAGCAGAGTTCAAGCCCATCAGAAAACAAGAGCCCCCACTGAGGAATGAAGCGAATCGACTCATCCACACAGTGGTCAATTATTCAATTACTTCTCTGCTTACTGGTGTTTGACCTCTATGTTTCCTATTGGATTTGTTAAGCAGAGGAGAAGATAAAGGGGAGGATGGGCTTCAGAAGTCTGGCTGAAAAAGGTGGTGATTGAATCAGATGGTGGGGTTAAAACAGAGGGGCAGTGAAGTGAGGTTATCTCTCATGACTGGCCCCGAAAGCTGAAATAAAGAGAACATAACAGTCCTGCCCCAACCAAATCCCCCTTTGGACTTTAATTAGACGCCTGAATAAATGACCTCATATGGTTTCAAAGAAAATGTAGCTCTTGAAGGGGTGGAAATGACTGATAAAGTTGTATTTTGTGAGCTTTGGGCCTCCTTTTTTCTTTCTCTTTCTCTCTTTCTATCTGCCTTCCTTCCTGATACTCTTTTGTTCTCAGAGTTAAGCGTTGATTCATTTTATTGTGTGTTTAACCAATTCAAGTCAAAAAGGAAGTGACCTAATGAGCCCGGGGCTCCAACCTAAATGAGAACGGCTATTGAGCACCAGTGAGAGTTTGTTGCAAAGTTTGTATAGAAATACAGCCATTGAGATAAAATTTCCTGTGTAAGTAGTCATTTAACAGATGATTTTATACAAAGTAAATTCCAGTACGCGCCTGCCACACATACACTGACAAACAATTTACAGAAATACAATTCATGTCTCCAGGGCCTCGGTGATAGAGAGCATTAATATGGAAATTCCTCTCACAGATGCATTTCAAGTAAATACAAGTTGGAATAGACATTGACGCAAGTTACTCAGCAGGAGACATGCAGTATATGCAAGTCTTTGTGTCTGTGCAGGTGACAGGGTTGTTTTTATATGTGATGTTGTGGGCCGACTGTAATCATATGGTCGCTCGGAAGTCTATGTATTGTTTATACACACATGGTTGTGCATGTGTGTGGCAATGATTTCTTGTTTGCAGCTGAAGTCTGGGTGCCAGTAAGATCTGTGTTGTGATTTGTGCAGGTAGCAAGACCCCAGACTGTGTTGGAGTGAGATGCACTGACTCCTGGCAAACTGCAGCATTCCTTGTCATCCTCCGCTCTCTTCCGAGGCTTTGGCCAGTCATGCGGTTACTACGGAAAATCCTCATCCTTTTGGGTGCTTGCCTTAATATGAGCTGCAGGTATCAGAGTAATGCCCTGGATATTCCACTTGAAGGTAAGTTGAATAAATGACTTCCTGTTCTATGTATTTTCTTCTGCAGTATTCTAGTAATGTCTTACCTGTTTATATGACAAGATTTTCAGTACTGTTTGTTTAATTGTTTGCTGTGTGCACAATCTGGCCTGTATTTATGCTTTCTGGAAGAACATTGAGCTATGGAAGCCTGTTTTCACCTTAAAAAATTAAAAAATGTGACTTCATTTCTCATAATTGCAACTTTATTTTCAAAATTGCAACTTAATTGTTCAGTCTTCAGTGTCACATGATCCTTCAGAAATCATTCTATAATCTGATCTAATGCTCAAGAAGCATTTATTATTATTATCAATGTTGAAAACGGTTGTGCTGCTTAATATTTTGGTGGAAACCATATTTTTTCAGAATCTCTAAAGGATTCTTTCATGAATAGAAAGTTCAAAAGAACAGAATTTGTATTTGAATTTCTTTAAAATTTGATTTTCTTAAAAAAAAAAACTGTTCTGTTTTTCAGCCTCAATCTGTCCTCCAGCCTAATACATTCATTACAAAAGTTAATAATTGTTCCAAGCTGTTCAAATTAGATCAGATTAAAACATGAGATAATCACTTGTTATCATATGATATGGAATCGTAATAAATTAATCTCCAGCTTGAAGTTGTGTTACCATTCATCTTCCTCTACTAATTACTTGCTGGTGCTAGTTTTGCTTCGAAAACTAGACCAGAGATGGAGGAAACGATCTTCAGGAACAACCGCAAGTGTATCATAATAGTTCTTCCATGCTGGTTGATCAGCATCACCAGCTATTTTTGCAGGTGAACAGTGCAGCTGTGCTATATCAGCACCAAACCAACATGGAAATTCACAAGGGTAAATCATGGGTAGAACAGCTCATAATATACGCAAAAAAAAACAAAAAAACATCAGAAACACACCACTGGTATTTTTAAAAGCACATTTCAAAGCCTTGTCTGAGTATTTGATGTCATTTTAAATTTGAAAACCTGAATGTGGAAATCCTCTTTGCATGCTTGTGATGTTTTCATCATATTTCAAAGGGCGCACACTGAGTGGTGTAATTTCATTTAATTACTGATCATCTCTATTTTTCAGATTCAGGTGGACAAAGAATGGTCAAGACTTTGATCCATATCAGGACCCCAGATTGATAACATTAGATGATTCCGGAACATTCATCATTCCCAATAATGGGAATCTCACAGAATTCCAGGGCAATTATCGTTGCTTTGCAACCAACAAATTAGGAACAGCAATGTCAGAAGAGATTGAATTCATTGTTCCGAGTAAGTAATGTATAACTTTGTGCTGTATGCTCCGTAACGACTCTTTCGGAATGATTTAGAGACCAGTGTCCAATAAAACAACCGCTCTGGTCCTTAGTGGGATATCCATTTTACTTGCCCGCTACAAACCCTGGAGCTTTTCTTTCTCTTTCATCACAGTGTGTATGGACCGTGAGGAGAGGGCTGATGAAAAATGAGTTTTCTCCTCTCTCTCCATCATTTTTCGACATCATATTTCTCATTGTGTTCTGAAATACACCACATAAATATCCACAAATGTAACCAGAGCAGTCATCAGTTACCAAACAAGACTTGTTTTCAATCACTCAGTTGGCATGTACAGTTTCAGCAGCAGAGTGATGTGTTAGTGGCAGATTTTTGGACAAAATTTGGGAAATTGGAACAAATAATCTTTTGCCAGGAATGCCTTAGGGAAGAAAATCTGTATTATACTGCCACCTAGTGGTAATTTAATTTGTGAAATGGTATATAATGGTATGTATCGATTCATTTTGCTTGTTAATTTCTGCAGATATTCCGAAGTTCCCTAAAGAGATCATCGATCCGATTGAGGTTATGGAAGGTCAGTCAGTCATTCTAGAGTGCAACCCACCCAAAGGAATCCCCCCACTGCAAATCTACTGGATGACAATAAGTAAGTTCACGTAATTGCAGGGGGTCCGTAGAATCATTACAAAAATGTTTTTTTTTTTATTATTATAACCATGAACTGATATATATAGGTGCATGTTTTTTTATATATATCTGTTCTATATTCAATGTAAACACTATGCTTTGGCAATACATTGTAACAATTGTCATGCCAATAAAGCACAAATTGAATTAAATTGAATTGAGAGAGAGAAAGAGAGAGACAGGTGACAGCGTCAGTAGAACTAAGGGTGTGTGAATACCTGGGTCTGTCTTTCTTCAGGTCAACTCATATAATCATGAAAAAATCAGTTTGCCATCAGTTGTGAGAAGATGAAAGCGATATCTGTGTCGTTGTATCCTTTCAGTTTGCAGGGGGTCCGTAGAATCATTACAAAAATGTTTTTTTTATTATTATTATAACCATGAACTGATATATATAGGTGCATGTTTTTTTTATATATCTGTTCTATATTCAATGTAAACACTATGCTTTGGCAATACATTGTAACAATTGTCATGCCAATAAAGCACAAATTGAATTAAATTGAATTGAGAGAGAGAAAGAGAGAGACAGGTGACAGCGTCAGTAGAACTAAGGGTGTGTGAATACCTGGGTCTGTCTTTCTTCAGGTCAACTCATATAATCATGAAAAAATCAGTTTGCCATCAGTTGTGAGAAGATGAAAGCGATATCTGTGTCGTTGTATCCTTTCAGTATTTAAGGGGATTTCCCACGACTGTCGTCAGCGCTGTTCAGTACACTGAATCAATGGCATTGTTCTCTATGAAGTGAAATATCATCTTCACTGTAACCCATGTGATGCGTTGATTGTTGATTTAGCCTTGTAAACTGGCACTCAAAGTAAATTAATGTCAACACCTTGTTTCACCTGGGTTACCCATCTATCAGTGGACCTGACACCAGAAGAGCTAAGAAAAATGGACAACACAAAAACACGTCAATATCAATGGGGGGCGGGGGTCCATGAGGTTGGTTTGAGATATTATGGGGGTCCAGTACTCAAAAAAGGTTGAGAACCACTGGTCTAAGGCACACCCACAGTGATCTGATCAATATTGCACAGTTAAAATGATCGACTGACTTCTACTTCTGAGTCGGGTATGCAGGTTTTTAATAACCCATCTGGAAACAATTGTTTATAAATAATTTTATATTATTAACCTAATTGTTTATTTAAAATATTAAAATAAATAATTAAAATAATATTTATTATTTTAATGATATAATATTTACATAATTTATTACTTTTGGACAGACAAATGTGTGTAACCGTGGAAAACCTGGCTATGCAACACTAAAGAAACAAATGTTACAAATTATATTACTTACTTAAAGGAATAGTTCACCCAAAAATGAAAATTCTCTTAAAATGTACTCATCCTCATGTCATCCAAGATGTATATGAGTTTGTTTCTTTATCACAACAGATTTGGAGAAATTAAGCATTTCATAATTTGTTCACCGAAGGATCCTCTGCAGTGAATGGGTGCCGTCAGAATGAGAGTCCAAACAGCTGATAGAAACATAACAATAATCCACAATAACATCAAACTAGGGCTGGACGATATGGCCAAAATTGATATCACGATATATTTCTTAATTTCGGACGATACGATATAATTCCGATATCGATATGAACACTATTTATCTGAAATAGAAATCTTTTGTAACATTATAAATGCCTTTATCATCACTTTTGATCAATTTTAAGCATCCTTGCTAAATAAAAGTATTAATTTCTATAATTTCTTTCCCAAAAAAATAATAAAAATTATACTGAATGGAAGTGTATAATGTTACAAAAGCTTTTCATTTCAGATAAATGCTGATCTTTGGATCCTTCTATTCATCAAAGAATCCTGAAAAAAAATGTACTCAACTGTTTTAAATACTGATAATCAGCAAATCAGCATATTAGAATGATTTCTGAAGATCATGTGACACTGAAGACTGGAGGAATGATGCTGAAAATTTACCTATGTATGATCACAGGAATAAATTACATTTTAAAATCTATTCAAATAGAAAGCAATTTTAAATAGTAAAAATATTTCAACATTTTACTGTTTTTGCTGTACTTTGGATCAAATAAATGCAGCCTTGGTGAGCAAAAGAGAATTCTTAAAAAAAAAAAAAAACATTAAAAATCTTACTGTTCAAAAACTTTTGACTGGTAGTGTAGGCTGATTATTCTTATAGATTGAAACAAATGTGCTTCAGCCAGAAAAAAGGGTATGAAAAGTGCTCCGAGTCGCTGCAGAAAACAAAAAAATTGAACAACAACAAAAACTGGAAATGTTGCTGGAGACGGGCTTATTTAAAATGAAAACTCATTCTCTGCCAGCAGGAGGCGCTTTTAGAGTGATAAAACTAGCGGTTTCTCCAGTAACGGCTGTAATCAAAGCAGCTCCGCTCATGAACGCTTCTTTATCAGATCAAATGAAAATGCCATCGAAACTTTTCTGAAGACAGTCAATTCCCTTCAGAGATACATTCATATAAAACACCCCCGCCGTGTTATGATTTTGAAACGTGCAGTGCTCATGTTTATTCAACGAAGTCAAACGGCACAAATAAATCAATGTATGGGAAACTGGTAATGTATATCGAAATATCGGAAATGTGTTTAAAAATCATATCACCGTTATTGAAAAAAATTATATCGCGATACATATTGATATTGAATTATTGAC